AGATGTGTTCCCAGAATCCACACCAGTCTGAGTGGAAGGTTGTCCAGCTGTCATTGCCGACGACTGCCGTGATGATTTTGCTAAAGTGTTTTTTTTCTGCTTTGGTACTCCTTCACGACACGCTTCTTCAAGGAAATTATATTGCTTCGCTAGTTCTTCGACCGTTTGTTCCAAACGAATTTTTTGAGAGCGTTCATGCTCGATGAACTGAAAACATGATAAATGGCGTGTTTTAGTTTATCGATGAGTGGTAACTGTCTGACTTGTTTGAAGGGTTTAGCTTGGAAACAGCCCAACAAGACCTGAGAGTGGTAAATGTCTGACTTGTTTGAAGGGTTTAGCTTGGACACAGCCCAACAAGACCTGAGAGTGGTAACTGTCTGACTTGTTTGAAGGGTTTAGCTTGGAAACAGCCCAACAAGACCTGAGAGTGGTAACTGTCTGACTTGTTTGAAGGGTTTAGCTTGGAAACAGCCCAACAAGACCTGAGAGTGGTAACTGTCTGACTTGTTTGAAGGGTTTAGCTTGGACACAGCCCAACAAGACCTGAGAGTGGTAACTGTCTGACTTGTTTGAAGGGTTTAGCTTGGACACAGCCCAACAAGACCTGAGAGTGGTAACTGTCTGACTTGTTTGAAGGGTTTAGCTTGGAAACAGCCCAACAAGACCTGAGAGTGGTAAATGTCTGACTTGTTTGAAGGGTTTAGCTTGGACACAGCCCAACAAGACCTGAGAGTGGTAACTGTCTGACTTGTTTGAAGGGTTTAGCTTGGACACAGCCCAACAAGACCTGAGAGTGGTAACTGTCTGACTTGTTTGAAGGGTTTAGCTTGGAAACAGCCCAACAAGACCTGAGAGTGGTTACTGCTGGTTTGAATAGGGGTTTGGAGCTCAAGAAAGAATAAAAACATTTAAAGATTTCATAAAATAAAAAAAACTTTGATACAATCTTTTCATTTTCCCAAAATTGAAAAAAATGATGATATATGAAAATGAAACCATAACTATAGAACAAACGATAAGAAACGAAGAGAGGACAATTTCTAATCACGATATTATGGCATGTTTTTATAGAACAATGTTTTTAACGAGAGGTTTCAAATACGATAAAGTACAGATTGTATCCAAATGCTTTACTTAGCCAATCTGCAACATCATATATTTATGTCGTCAACTATTTTTTATCTTTAGACAAACCTTTTCGAAATTCTTCTCTTGCTTTTGAGCGAGATCATAAAATTCACCACATGCCTAAAATTTTTGAGAACAAAAACTGTACAAAAACATAAAATATTATATTTAGATGTCGTTTGCTACGAGTAAATACGAAAACAATATTAAAATAGTACGTAGTGGGTACTCAAAATAAAAATCAAAACTATTGGTTAAAGTTTGTTTGAAAAAAAAAATGCTTTATAAGAACTTCATATTTTATAAATAACAAGTTAAATCATTTAGTCTTTATACACTTGCACATTTGATTGAAAGTTATGATGTTATCTCAACTTTGACTTTCTATATTGCACAATGCTAAAAGCAGTGCCTGGAGAGTGTCTTGTAGACACGTTACATACAATCTCCAATTATAACTAGAGATCTCGTTGAATAGTCAAACAAATGAGATTTCTAAATACTTTGAATAAAAGAACCTATAAAAAATTTGTCATTAAGTTGATGAAATAATATGCAGACAATAAACGTGTACGAATCTACAAGAACGAGCTGAACAAGAAAGAGATTAAAATTATCCTCCCAAAGTTCCAACAGAAAAATTTTATGCATTCATTCAAAACGATAGTTTATCGCCACTTTAGACGATTGTTTAAAATACACATATGATACGATTTGTGTTTATTGAGGCATTTTAATACTCTCTTCTTCTTGTTGTCGTAAAACGCTGCAGTTAATATGAATTTTTCTTATGACCAGGAGGCTTTTTGCTTATTAGGAAATGAATCTCATCGTTGATAGAAAAACACAAACTCATCATAATTCATAAGACTAAATTTCTGAAGTACAAAACAATTTAGTTATTAAAGGGGTCAACAATGACAAATCACAAAAAGTCGTGAATGCAGAACGAACTTTCTTAATCGTGAAAATCAAAACATTTTCTTCACTGAGCAATTTTATTCCAGCAACGCTTGGTAAAATTTGATCAACACCATCGGTTGGCACAAAAAAAATAATTGAAGATGAAAAAAATCCATCAAATTTTTCTATGTGTCTGCAAACTCTGTCCATGTCAGTAAAGTGTATTTGCCAATTTTAAAAGTTTTTTCTGTGAATATCACAGCAAAAACTTCAGAAATTGAATGAAATCACACCAATATATAATAGTACAACTTTAACATAAATGTATTTAAATTTTGATAAGACAAATACCCATGGATAACAAGGGTTTAAATCTTTGCTCCTATCCAACAGTGCTTTTGCAAGTCCATTTGTAAAATAGCAATACACAATGCTTGGAGAAGGTAATATGAAAATGCATATTAAGTCAATTGAAAATTATTTGAAAACACAACTTAGAATGTAATGAAATTTAAGCAAAAAATTAGAAAGTTTTAAAGCAACTTACACTTTTCATAGCACTTGATGTAATACGAAACAATGTGGCTTTTTCATTCACAAGTTTCAATATTTTGTTCAGCTCCACGCCTTCAATAAGTTCTTCACCCAAATCCTGGAGATCATTGATTGCTTTTTGTAATGCTCTCCCATGTTTAGTAACTAGGTCATTACATGTTTTAAGATCGTCTATCTTACTTGATAGTGGTTTTGTGGAGCCTTCATTTTTGTCTTCATCCTCATCTTCATCTGAAAGTATTTATAATTATTTTTTAAATAATAAAATCAAACCAAAATCAAAATGAAATGAAGGAAGTTTAATGATAAAATACCCTTTTAAAAACACAAGCATTGATTGATTAAATGCTACTAGTCTGTACAAACAAGGAATCTTAATTTTGCAAAGTCTTGCAGGTAGCATGGTTTGTGCAGGAAATTTTTAAGACAAAAATATAAACAATTTGTCATTAAAATCAATAAATTTATCTTTTAAATATTGTTATAAAAAAGCTTTTTTGTAAGCAACATAGAAAACATATTTACTTGTTCCTATTGAGTTGCAGAAACACTCGTAAAAGTTTGGGAGAAACACAAAATTGCTTTCTTGTTTCTCCTAAACTTTTCTGTATGTTTCTAGGAAAATGTTATCTCTTTCTTAAATTCAATACTGACATAAATTACCAAAGATATGGCAAAACTAAATTCTCTGATAACATATGTTTAAATTAATTGTAAAAAAAAACAGTCATTCTATTGTTCTAATATTTTTAATCAAATAATGCTGTTGCTGATTACCATTCAATCTTATTTTTAATAAAATATATTTCTGTCTGCCAGACCCAAGTTCCCTATCTAATGAAACCAAAATTTCAAATGTAGTCTAAATAAGATAATTTTATTAAAAAACAACTTCAAATAATGATAGCGGTATTTAAGTCATCTTCATGTCATACGACCTAAACGTGAATTATCTGATAAACAACAAAATAATTTTTCGTATTTCTTAATGTAGCTTTACCTGATTCTTGAGTCTTTATAGCTTTTGCCTTGACAAGATGCAAAGCAGTCACCCATTTTTGTCTTTCAATTTCGGACGTCGCTCTAAGATGAAAGAAGTGAGTACTTCCGTTGGACACAACAAAGCCACAAGGGTCATCTTCAGTAGAAATAAATGCATTTGCCATATTTATCGTTCCTCGACATGTATAAAAAACATCCGCTTGGTTTCTGAACAATAAAAATGATAAATGCAAAAACGAAACAAACAATTTGTGTTTCTTCAGAATTGTGACCAGGGATATACAGTGTGGAAAGCAAAGTTTAAATATAAATATCAAAGCCCAGCAAAGTGCTTTTAAAAGAGCCATTTAATGCATAGAAAGAAATATTTATTTAAAAGTGTAACGTTTCGTCTTGACTCTCAAGACATCATCAGACAGTATTAAATTTCAAGTATAGAGGGATATATACATATAATAGCTAATTACATAATATTAAATTACCTGGTGGGATGAAAACGTGTTAGTAAATATTTGATAAGATGGTATGACGTGGATAAGTAGAAACACGAAAGAAACAAAAAAACAAACAAAACACAAACAATCACAAAGTATACAGACATGAGGACGGACGAAATTAGATTAAAGCAACTGAAGGACAATGGAGTTTCCTTGGACGTTACGAGATGGTTTCATTTTGTTGATTAAGAGGCTTTCGTGAATAAGAAGCTCTTGTGAGTTTGAGCATAAGTAAATCCGTGTTGTTAAAATTCGATAAAAAAATATAGCACAGCAGTACCTGTAGTAGGAGAGAAGCCCATGACTTAAAACAAACCATCGTTTCTGATAGCCTTTAATGTAGTTTGTCCATTTCATTAACCATCCTCTGGACAAATCTTTATTTTCTATCATTTTAAGAACTTTTAGATAATTTAGTCTTCACATATATTGGCATAAAGCGGCCATTTTTTTATTTTGGCACTTGATAGCCCGCACAAACCCGATGGCACGATTTGGACTTCCTTGTTTTTAGGTAAGGATATTTTTTTTGAAGTCTTGAATTATACACTGCTTCCAATGGCATAAGATATTCAACTTACAAATACACATCCCTGCTACGAATTAGGATATATAAATATTCAAGCCTAGCAATTCAGAATCAATTGAAAAATAGATATCATTCCAAGAATCAAAACCACTATTTTCGGCAGGAGTTGTAGTGCAAACGACGTCCAATGTCCTCTAACTTCAATAGTAAGTTTGCTAATGGGAGAACAGTATCAAATTTAAAAAAATTCAAACAGGAGGAGAAAATAGACCTTTTCATTATAGCCTAGTAGAAATTAAACATGCATAATGAAACAAAATACTGTGTTATCTTGGCTATCAATGTGATGATGGTCCATGTGAAAAATTAGAAATGACTATTCGTTTAAGTTTGACATTATGTTTTAATCCATTTCCATTCACTTATTCACAGCTAAAATCACAAAGCATATGATTTACATGTGAACAGCACGCACGCTGGACCAAAGAACAACACGATAGGCCATTTTCGTGCCTTCCAAAAAATTGTCAAAGAAAAAGTTGGAAGACAAATAATAATCAATATATACAATTAATTTAACAGATTCACGTTGACCTTTAAAACCACTTGAATAATTTTAAAGAAAGAACCAAATGATCAATTATTGAAAGACGCGATCATTTTCTCTTTTCTTAAGATGATTCTTCATACTGTTAACCGTTCTTTAGCTTGTTATGCCATTAGTTTCAATATTATCCATACATGTATCGGCAGTACTAGCTACACTTGATGTATCGTATACTACATTATCTTTATGAGTTTGTGCAGCTTCGCTTTCCAGCTTTACATCCTTCGAGGATACAGGCGCAGCACACAGATCTCCCTTCTAGAACAAAGAAGTAAATGAAAAATAAAAGCTTTTGACATTAATGAAAGAAACGGGATGTTTCAACGTGTTTTTATATGGAATGTTTTCTCTTTCTACAATGTTGGTAAAAAAGCCATAAGGGAAAAAATTTCTGTTGATTTCTGGCTCTGTTGAGCATCGGCACATGAAATTCACATGCAAACACACAATATTACGACTAAATTTAAAGCTTAATTTCTAAACAAGAAATCAAAAATTCATGCAAGGTTTCAACCGTAAAAACTAACAATTATTACCGAGTTACTTTGGATCGCCAATTGACTTTTCAGGTTTTCTACAAAAAGACAAAGACTATGACAGCTCTTATGTCAAATTTTCTAAATATTACAACATTTAATGTTGAGAAACTCCGGGAAAAAAGTTATGCAATGGACTGAGTTATTATATCACGAAAAGAACGCTTTAATCCAATCTCATATCACCTCTAGTAGAACTGTGTATGATCTATCCGTGAATTAAAGAACTAACTCACTTATTTCCTCTCCCAAAGATTCAATCTCTGCTTGATAAAGTTCTTCCATTCTATCCTTTGCAAACTGCTCGGCCATAACGCGATCTTTCATAAAATCAATCTGAAAATCAGCAAGAAAGGGATGAACATTATTCTTCAAACAACAGAAAATTTTATTCTTTTTGCAAATTCTTTGAATAGTTAAATCAAAGACCACTGCATACAGTATAAATGTATCTATAATTCAACCGAAAATCATCTTGTAAATTGCATTGAGAAAGGCGAAATATTTTCCTACAGAGGTTTCTTCCCCAAGTTTAAACACGTTTAAAGTTACTTCAACGACACTTCAACTGCTCAACAAAGACTTTTTCTTTCGTTAATTGCCGTTTAAAAACGTACTTCACTTTGTAAGACAGCTTCCCTTTCAACTATATTATCTTTATCGCGTTCCAATGCATTTCCCTAAAGAAAAGACGAGAAACAGATGATGCAGGGAGAGATGAACAGCAACGCCAATGGATTGGCAAGAATTGCAACTTTAATCAAAATAAATTATGAAATGTATACGCACTAACCTAAAGATCCTATGGTAATATTGAATATTAAAATTATATTCCCTGTGTATTTTCTAAGGGATTTTTGTCGTGTGAATTAACTAAAATTTTAGATGCTGTAGAGAAGACAATTATTGATGGAAATTCGTGGTTAAAAATCACTACCTTGGTTGGAGCAATGTCTCTGGACAACATCAGCTCATTCTAGAATAGTAAGAATTTTTACATCATCAATATTTTAGTAAATTCAACATAGATGACGAAGTAAAAATCAAAAAAAGTCAGGCGTACTCACCAAATCGTCACTCGTCTTCCTTTTTGTTTTATCAATGTCGGCAGTTATTTCCTCTAGTAAACTTTCAAAACTTCTCTGCGTCTCCATAGCTGCTTTGATCTAAAGTTGAAATCGCAAAAATTACGTTTGAAATGTGTACAAACAACTATGTGAATAGTAGATTCATAAGTTATCTTCAGATGCCTTGAGTGTCATAAAACTTGAGTCAATAAAAGTCATTATGTACTCAAGCATCTAAACCATATTGAAAAAAAAATTCCATTTTTTATGTTCTTATTGCACCTGTGATTGTGCATCTTCGCTCGCCACTTTAACAGTTTCTTCCAAGTCAGAAAGAGCTCTGTTTACCATGATAACGGCTTCCTTTAAAAAATATTTTCGTCATACAGAATCGTAGCTAAATACACACTTGGTCACTTTCACAATGAAATGATATCGTGTTTGGTGGCAAAAGATAAGTTACACAATTCATTTCACCTGCTCATCTTTCAATTTCTTCGATAACGTATTTGTCTCCTCTGTCAATTCTTCCTTTCGCAATTGCAAGTTTTGCAACTGTTTTTCATAGTTCTTACACATTGCGCATGTGCGGTTGACGTCATTTGACAAAGATGTCTTTGCCTAAAAGACAAATATATATAAACAATTATATTACCTCTCACGGAAAAATGAAGAAAAGCCAAATAAAGTATGAAACAGTTTCAATTGCGCGTACTTGAAAACAATGGCAGATGGAGATGAGCTTAAAGTTTACATACAATATAAGGCTGTACACTTTAAAATGTAATACTTTATTGATGGTTTAAGTGGCGCTCTTTTCCTTTTTTGTGTATAGTCTTAAACAGATGCAAAGCAGGGGAATGGACTGATTTTAGTTTGATGTTTACTTTAATTGGGATGTATTCAACGTTAAAACAACAAACGACATTAACGATGAGTGAGGCAGTGTAGCTGAATCCCACAAATCCAGTATATAAATATGTGATTTAAGCTTACAGCTTCTTGAAAATTCTTCCAATCAATACTCTCCCTTTCGGGTTTTCCAGAAATATCATTGGTAACTTTTAGTTCTTGAGAACGACTCCTTGCCCCTGTACCTCCTACAGGAAAAAAATACAACTTTCATTAGAAACAGGGCCAAAACAAGAGTCATTGTAGAAAGTGCTTTGTTCGCTAATGTTGCGTTACAAATAAGAACGAGCCGACGAAAAGTGAAAGAAGCTTTTCTCCTAAATGGAAACTTTTATATTATACATGTAACCAGGAAGTTCATACGTTATAAACTTTTCACATATGGCTGAAACAGCTGGAAGTAAATATCATCATTATAACAACAATATTCAATTATTCTTCAACCTGTATAAGAACCAATTTCAATATCCTCAGCAGATTTATATTTCTTCATTGTACTACCATTGCTCGTTTCTTCGTCAGAAAATGAATTCAAACTCTTGCTGTCCAAGTTTATGTTTTCATTAGAGCTTTTCATGGGTAGTTGTAAACTTGGCATTAAAGGCTCAGTATTTGATTCAAATTGTGGAACATCGCTCTGAAAATAAAAAAGGCGATTTTAAAGCCGTGAAAATAATGATTCATGATTTGCCTTGACTTATGTGTTCACCAAGTGTAAAGCTGAAACAAGCGTGTTCATAGACACTCTATACTTGTCAACAATGAAGTTGAAACTCGTGTCGCTATATGTATACTTCAGTTTAGTGTCTTCATCAGGATTGATCTGATGTTGAAACTTGAGTCTTTATATACTCCAGTTTAGTGTCTTCATCAGGATTGATCTGATGTTGAAACTTGAGTCTTTATATACTCCAGTTTAGTGTCTTCATCAAGAATGATCAGATGTTGAAATCTGACTCCAAAGTCTAGAATCTGTATTTGGAGTGGTGATCTGATGACAAATAATGACGACATCGATAAAGACAGGATACTTACATCAAGTATTGATGGTCCGATGGAAGACGAGCTATTCGACTTTCGAGCAACAAAGCTTGCCAATGATCGTTTGTGTTCGGATGTACTTGATTTATTCACTCTAGAAAGTTCCTGTTTTCTACTACCCACGAATTGCTTATTCGTTTTTCGATTTATAAATTTCCTCGAGGTTGCTGGCGATGGAGGTTTCAGTAGCTCCACAGTTTCTTTACTTTGGCTTACTTCCTCTTCAAATAATTGACGATGCTCGCTAGACAGTAAATTTATCATTTTATCCATTTTAAGTCTCTGTACGCGTTGCGTCTCGAGAAAACGATCATTTGCCATTTCCCAAGTGCTCTTCAAGGCTGAGTGTTCTTCTTTTTCCTGTTCCAGTATTCTACACACTGAACACATAACATAACGTATTAGTGCACGTGACAATGCTAGCACCATACATGACAATATATCACATGATATAACACGTGACAAGAATATCACATGATATAACACGCGACAATATATCACGTGATATAACACGTGACAAGAATATTGTGTTACAGTGTCAACATAGTATTTGTTTAATATTCCACACACAATAATAATGGAAAAGTGTGCAATAAAAATCTTTGCAGCCAACAAGCTCAAAGCGACAGACAGTACCATCGATGTCACGAAATTAAGGCACTTAAAACAAAACAAGAGCAGAAGATATAATACACGGTAAGTTTATGAAGCTTGAGAAACAAATATCGCTCTTTGCAACAGGTTGTAACAAGTAAAACAAATATTTTCTTGACAGAGGAAAATCAACTCACCATTATGCAGTTCTTTTCTTAGTTTATCTGCATCTTCTTGTAGAACAGCTGAATGTAAGCAAAAAAATTTTTTTAAAAATTTTCTCACGAAAAAGATAGTTTAACTCGTTTACGAACATATATGTTCATGTGAAACAGCAAGATCAATTTTGAACACGAGCTGCGTGGAGCAACTTCCTCCAAGCTATGGATGTAATAATTAGAGTTAATATTTGTGTTTACCTTTTTGAGTGTTAAGAACAGCAACAAACATTTCGAGGTCAGTTCTTGCAGATCGCTCGGCTTCCAGATATTGAGTGAGGTCTTTTATCTAACATAGCACAAGTTACATCTCACATTAGATGTCGTCATATGTTCAATTATAACAACGCAAATATGACGTAATATGTAGCGAGTTGGGGTGATCACAGCCCGGGTGGATCACGTAGTAAGAGATCACATGATTATAGTATAAAGAGCAAACTGTTTTGCGTAACACATATCTTCTAATCAGACAATAATCTAATCAAATACACAGCACCAGATGGCACAGCGAAGACGCCGTAACAGCTTAATCCTAACATACTGAGCAAAACACAGAAGGAGCTGTGCCGCGTAGGGTCTGGAACGAACACAGGACTTTTAGCAGATAGCTTCTCCTTCTCGCAGACAGCAATAGGAAAAATATGTTTATAAATAAATTTACAGCATTCTTATGACTAGTCTCTTTCTTTTTGTAAAAAGAATCAATGCCAACATCTTTTCATCTTTTCAATGTTACGACATTTCTACGGTGGCTCACAAGGGCCACCACACAAAACAATACACACAAAATGATGATTGCAGGACTATCATATTATCAGTTTGTAATTGTTGTAAATTGTCATGTTATGCATGATAAATTGTATGTTTGTAGACAAATAGGAAAATACCGAAATCCTCTCAGGATCCAGAAACCACAGTTTAATAACTATACATATTTTCCTATTTTCGGACAACAATTACAAACTGATAATATGATAGTCCGTTTTGTATATTTTACATTCATCTTAGCCTGCATTCTTTTCATCTTTTCTTACACATTTTTCATTCATGATATTTTAATTTTTAATAATGTATTTTGCGCTGTGTGCTAAACACTATTTTGTGTGTGCTATTTTTATGTATTTTAGTTTTGTGTATATTTTTATTTTGTGTTACCGTACATTTCGAACACATATAAAAACTACACTTAATTTAAACATAGTTTTAGGTAAACACAAGCTATTTATGAGATCATAAGACAAAATTAATTAATGATCAGTCCTGGGAATAATAAATTCAACGCTTGTTACTTTTCAAACGGACTTTGCAATTTCATAAAATTCTGCATGCGCAATTAATGCATATTTTATATTTTCAAATTTTAGTTCTACAGGTAATGATGTTCACTGTAAAATAATCAATGATTCATACGCTTGTAGTGAACTTTGATTTTATAAAAATTGCACCATTTTCATCATGAATTAAAATTTAAGTATGTACGTTTTACAAACCTTATCTTCAAAACTATCAGTAACGTTTTCACGTAGGTTTTCCGGTGAAGTAACAACCTGGAATGGAGGAATAAAAAGTGCCAATTTCTAAAATAGTAGTGAAATACTACAATACAGGGATTGTAATATACATTCAATTCTTGCTTCTTTTCCTCCAATAAAGTTATTTTTTCGTTGGCTGTCTTCAATTTTGACTTCAAAGAAGCAATTTCCTTGACGAAAAAAACCCACAAATAAATCCAGTGTCCTTATCACAAAAAGAAAATGATCACATGAGACAAAATTCACCTCTTCAAGAGGCATGACAATAGATCTCAATGCTTCAGCATCCTCCTGAGCCTTAGAGTGAAAATGAAAATTGAGTTGAATGTTTCTAGAAGAATTCATTGTCAGATAATTGTTAACAGATTATTTTATAAATACTTTAATCAAATAAAGATGAATTGCTTAAAGTTAATGGCAGTTGCTGACGTACAGTGAAACGTGCTCATATTCATGTTTAGAGTGGCATATTTCAAAACTACACATACATATTTATAGACAAGACAACAATGTCACCTTTAATTGACCAAAAGTTCTATTGAAAATCGCAGAAACTTTTGAAAGTTTATGGTGTAAGAGCAAAACATATATAAGAATAAGAAACCTTTTTCATACTATCTTCAAGATTTCCATCACCAGTTGGCTCAGGGGGACCACCTTGCGGTTTCCTAGGCAACACATCAAATAGACCTTCATCAGTGTCCTCCTGTGGCTGTTGATGTTGTCTTGATTTTGTGTCATGAATCAATGTCTGGAACTTTGCCAATTTTTTTTCTAACTCATGATTGGCTGCAACCAATTTCCTTTTGTCCTCTGTAAATTTCTCTGCTACCTCTTGTCGTGTTTCTTGCACTGCATCTGGGGAGTGGACAAAAGCAATAAATTAATTTAATAAAAAAAACACACGACATCAAATGAATGACACAGTTACAGTGATGCCAGAACAACGCTAATTGGGAGGAATAATATTCATATATGCACGTTATACTTCATTCCTTTCTATTGAAAGTAATTGTGATTACGGATTATGATGTATGAATACATGAATATCACCTCCCCCCCCTCCCAAGTAGCAATGTTCTGGCATCACTGAGGTAGGCATCAATTTAGAATTAGATGTAGTCTCTCTATCAAAAATAATGTGAAGTTAAACTTGAGTTCCTATTTATAATAATTTAGCATGTCAATCAAAAAGATCAGAAGTTTGAATTTTGAGCTTAAGATGTAAAATACCCCAGTCTAGTGTCTTTATTAGGTCTGAGTCATCATCATTTTTTTTAAGTTTAACATCTTCATTACAATTGTATGATGTTGTATGCTTATTATTAACATTTCTTAAATTCAAACAGGAATTGGTGTGCGGAGTGGAGTGATATTCATACATTCATATTGTATAAAATGTAAACACAAATTTAAATCAATAGAAATTAACAAAGTACAAAATGCAAAAAATAACAATAAATCTTTCATCATCTCTGCCAAATATACACATACCATGCATTATTGCTTTTAACGAAGCAATTTCTTCTTGATACTTAATATCAATAGCAGCTATCTTGTCATTGCTAGAAGTCTCAGCAATAACAACAGCAGTTTTGAGATCATCTCTCTCAGCAGACAGGTTCTGTAGGTTGGCCAAAAGTTTTGAATTTTCCTCACGAGCAATCCTCAGTTTGGTAGCCTCGTCATGTAATTGTGCTAAAATATAAAACATAGTATTGACACATGATATTCAGAATATTACCTGTTCAGAATATTACCTGTTTTATGTTAAAATAATTTTTGTACCCATTCTTTGGCTTCATGCAAAGAAAAGAATGACTTGATTTATTATTCATCATCCGCCAATTAACTTATTTTCTTAGGAAATGTTTCTTCTCTTCATAGGCAGTCCCAGACAGTCTCAGGCAGTCCCGAAAGTCTTGGGCATTCCCAAACAGTCTCAAGCAATCCAAGACAGTCTTGGGCATTCCCAAACAGTTTTAGGCAGTCCCAGACAGTCTTGGCTATTCACCACAGACAGTCTCAGGCAGTCCCAGACAGTCTTGAGCATTCCCTAACAGTTTTAGGCAGTCCCAGACAGTCTTGAGCATTCCCAAGCAGTTTTAGGCAATCCCAGACAATCTCAAGCAGTCCCAGAAAATATTGGGTAACCCCAGCCAGTCTAAGGCAGTTCCCGGCAGTGTTTAGTAGGACTCATATCACATGTACTTTATTTCAATGCATTTCAACATTCCTAAAATATCTTAAGTTATTTGGATAAATGAGTGTTTCTTCTTACAAAACCGAAAGCAATACGAAAGTAAGAAGGCAAAAACTAACTTGGAAATAAAAAAATCTCGAGAATTAAAGAGAAATTATCTCAAAGTAAAAATACTTACTTTCTTTCTGAAGAAATAAGTCTTTAAGTTGTGCTCGCTTTTTACCAAATTCAGCTTCTTTACTTTCGATGGACAAACGAAGTTCATTTTGTTGTATTTCCAGCTCTTTTACTTTTGCCTTTAGAAAATCTACGTTTTCATCTATGAAAAAAGAAACAAGGCCTTCATGAATAACAACAAGTTTCTCTGTAAGTTGATAATTCTGTAAATTCAAAGTGAGCGTAATGACAAAGAAACAAAAAGATCCTGCTTGCATAGAAGCTAAAACAAAACTGGTCAAAAAACTGTACAACAATACTAACCGTCCATATCACATCCTTTATATAAATAAAAAACAACGAATTCAAATTAAATAAATACTATACTATAAATTGTTCAAAATCTCATTTATTGGTATTAGCCATTATTGTTTTGTCAATTGCCATTGACTCCCCCCTCTTTACTGAATTGCGCAAGGAAAACATCGATCCCCCCTGATAGTGATTACGTAATTAGAGAACGCATGACATGCGCGTGCCAGTTAGAGTTCACTGCGCGTGCACATGCATTTGCATGGTGAAAATCAGCAAATTGCGTTTCAAAATAATGTCCGACAGCGTTAAGAAAAAAAACTTACAGTATTCTTCATTTAATCATTTCGTTGCTGGTGGGATAGGAGGAACGGTAGGTGCTGTTGTAACATCGCCGTTTGACGTTATCAAAACTAGACTGCAATCGTCAGGTTTTCGACTGGGAAAAACTAAATATAGCAATGTCAGTTTCGCCGGCTTTTCACAGCAAGAGTTTCATGCCAGAACTGTTCTGTCAAAACAATACAGTGCTATATTTACTTATATGCAATATATGATAAAGACAGAAGGTTGGCGCTCTTTATTTCGTGGTTTAGAGCTATATTTAGTGGGTACAGCTCCTTCAAGAGCAATATACTTTGCGGTGTACTCAAAGAGTAAAAATTTCTTGCTGAATTGCGGTATTCCGTCAGAGAGCTTTATTCTACCCATCGTTTCCTCAGTTGTTGGAGGGTTCGTATCATGTACAATGACTAATCCCATTTGGTTTTTGAAAACTCGTTTGCAACTTGAATGCTCACGTTATGAAGGTAAACAGCATGATGGACTATTTAGAACAATGTGGAGAATTTACCAAAAGGAAGGAATTCATAAGTTTTATTCTGGCCTTACAGCATCATATTTGGGAATTGGGGAAACTGTTATAAATTTTTTGATCTATGAGCAACTTAAGGTAAAGATCAACAAATTTTGTAATCGAGAAAGTTCAAACTCATTTTATGCCACAACTTTTCTGTTGGCATCAATTATGTCCAAATCAACGGCAGCTGTTATTGGTTATCCACATGAGGTATTGAGGACCAGACTCAGGCAACAAAGCAACAAGGTCCTTGGTAGGGCTAGGTACAGTTCCATTACCCAAACCGCTAGGATTATCCTTAAGGAAGAGGGATGGACAGCATTTTATAGTGGTCTTTGGACACATCTATTGAGACAAGTGCCAAATACAGTCATTGTTTTGTTAACCTACGAAGCTGTTGTTTATTATTTAGAACAATGAGACTTCTCAAACATTGAGTGTTTGATTTGCATTAACAGCACTAGAAAATTTAATAATTTTAGTTGCAACTCATAAGTTATGAAGTAATTACTATGAAAGTGATGTTATATGAATGTATTTATGATATAAACACTTAGCTTTATATTAGGTTTAATACCCTGTACGGTAAATTTATGAATTATTCTATGAAGTGTTAGATACAATTTTAAAAACATTTTTGCCAATATAGTCTGTTTGGTTCTCACTTAAATGAAGAGAGTTTTACCTAAAGAGTGTCACAATAACAAATAGGACTCTTTGGCAAAAAGGTTTTCTAAAATTCAATTTTCATTACAAAGGATATTCAATAGCATGCACAAGGGATGACACAATTTGTAAAAATATATAGTTAGCAATGAAATTCTTTTGTATGTATGTGGAACACATTAGACACATAAAACTAGTAACTGTATGTCAGCATATTTAAAATAACACTGAACTTAAGCACCTCAAACTTAAAAAAAAATTTTTGTAGTTTCCATGCGTAAAGTAGTGAAATAAGCATTTATGACTACATCATCTCAAAAATTGTGATGAGATTCATACATAGTAATCAATAAAGTTTGGAATTAGAAAGAGGATTGCTAAATTGAGGGGAATCTGCCTTCTCACTAACCAGGATAAGTGATACATTTAAGTTAAAATTTGTTAGTTGCTTTATTATGATCCAGTGCTCATAGTTGAATGTTTACTTTAATACATATCTCACTTGGCTTGGGCATTGAGCTGTGTAACAATCTTCTAACCAGCTTGTATCAGTAGTGTTGGTGCTGAATAATGCTTATATAAAGTAAAAGTAAAGAGCTTGTGATAAACCCTTCATTAATTATTAAAAGGAATGGGTCTTCTGAGTTATATTTATAACATTACGGAACTGGAAGAAGCCAAGGTGCACTTCAACATTTAAAATAGTAACAGCATCAACATAAAATCACATTTTTTAAAAAACTCCCGAAAGCCAAACTGTAGTATAAAATTAAAGTCCTCAATTTAAAATCATTTGTATAATATAATATAATAAACTTTAACTACAAATGTCTAATTAGAATATGCATACACAGCATGAAGATAGGACTTAAGTTACAGAAACTATTTGAATGATTAACTTACTCAGACTAGTACAACTCAATTCTGAACAATGTCTACTCATCCTTTTTGTACAGTGTAGCCTTGTTTACGGTTTCTGGTAATGGCAAAACTAATCCTGCAGCTAGCATCGCCCCCAAAGCAAAGCAAAATAAGGGAATTTTGGTGTCGAATATCTCCAATCCAAGTACTAAAGGAGCTAAAATACCACCCAAACTTGACGCTACTGAAAGAACACTCATTGAAAAACTTCGAACAGATGCTGCAAAATGCTCGGCTGAAAATATGTAAATGATGTTGTAGCATGCTGCCACAGCAAACTTTCCAAAAAGAGAACAGATCATAAGCACATTGCCAACATAAGGTTGGTTGGCCCCTTGTAAAAGAGCACAGAAAAAACATGCTGCAGAACCAAATAATGCAAACCAAATCAAAGGTTTCTTTCGACCAAATTGTATCATCTTAGTGCTTAATAAGGCTGGGATCTCAATAATACCAGAGAGGCTGAAACTCAAATACTTGTTATTGCTTAAACTACCTGAGACAAAGGACAATCCATAATACAACATTGAAAAAAGGAGCCATACGCCACTCAAAATGAATATCTTCTTTATATTATCAGGATGGGATAATGACTGTGAACTATTTTTGCCATCTGCCACTGGTACATCAAGTGACAGTTTTTCCAGAGTTGATTCAGATATATTTTTACCATTTGTTCTGGCAATTTCTTTAATTAACAATTTGCACTCATTAAGTCGACCATTTACTAACAGCCAAAGAGGTGATTCACACAAGCCTTGTCTTAATAGAAATAAGGAGCAAAGTAGCAAAGGAAAAGATGTCAAAATGGTGAGATATCTCCAATCCCTGACAAAGTAGGCGCACACACTTAGTACAACATAACCAAAGGCATAAACACCTTGATATCCTGAGAGTGCAACATCTAAAAAATTGTGGAAATTGAAGAACAAGTTAGATACTGCAGACAATATGTGGTTGATAGTAATGAGAGTTTTGATGAGAAATTGATTTGAAATTGCTGGAGAATAATATAACAAGGCAGATAGATCAACACAACACAATTTGTTCATTTTGCAGCTAGAAATCACCAAACTACAAAGATAAAGAAATTCACAATGCAACCAAGACACTTTAGGCTCACAAATAACTTACCTTTGACAGACTGGCCCACAATTTCAGATATCAGAACAAAGACAGCAGTACTTGCACCGTTCAACGTGGCAGCTGTAATGAATCTTAGAATAACAAACTGGTTAAATGAGTAAACAAATCCACTGGCCAAACAACTCATGGAGGAAATGGAAACGAGTATTATTATGGTGGTCTTTCTTCCTCGATTATCTGCCATACCCCCAAACAAAAGAGCACCAAGCAGGCAGCCAGTCATTACTACCGCACTTGCAAAACGTCTTTTGACTTCTTCATCGCAAACTAAATGCCATTCACTGACAATGGAAGTAAATTCATCGCTAAATTGCATATCTTCGCACGAAGAGCCATTCTCTAGACAGGGAAAGTCTTCTGAGTCAAACACCATACCTGCATTTCGTGAAACGCATTTCCAAGGTGGTTTATCGGCGACGTAGACCAGAAGAAACATCTGACAGCATCGCAAAACAGTAACAATACTGAGTACTAAGTAGACACGTTGCTGAAATGGTCCAAATTCACCGATCCGAGAAAGAACATTATTTAATTGTGACATTCTTGCAGCGAGGAATATTATTATCATACAGTGATTCGAAAAATCAAAAGAGACAAGTTGCAATTTATTTCTTCCTCTTGAGTCTCAAGTGACTTTGAAGTAATATGAGAAAATATCTTATGTAATTGATACTAAGTTGATGCAACAAAAATTCATTATAACTATCCATACTCCATAGTATTTCAAATTAAACACCTTCCCTCTTATACTAATTTCGTCAGTAATTTTTCAGATTGGGTCAATTTGCCATGAGCGATAACAATAACGATGATCCATAGTTCACTCAAAGAATTTCTACGGTGTTATGTAGGTAGTTCATCGTACTTCAAATAAATTTTAATCCAAGTGTAGGTTTCATAAAATTTCAGTGTCCACACCTCACGTGTTTTTCTTTTTCCAGGCAGATGACGAAAATAAAGTATGTTAGGGATCATTGAAAATTAATAAATAAAATGAAAAACCACCAGATGAAATAACAATTAGCATTGAAAGTAAAACAAACACTTTTTAGAGTAATTGCAACAAACACAATTGACACGCACTCATTTCTTCTTTACACAAAACGATGACGTATGAACCAGACAACAAACTCAAGTGACTCTGAAGATGACCACCGCTAAGGTTGTCGAAACGCCCACTCAACATCAACACCAACAGTCATTCGCATGACTCTACTAACCACGACGAGCTACATCTACAAACATGTAACGATCTCCCGGAGTCCCAGGTTCAAACCATTATTCTCTTAATACGTATCATGTGACAAATTTACTGGAACATTTTCACCATATTAACGAATCTTTGTTGAGCTGAAGTTTCAACATTTATAAAGTTTATATTTCAAACGAAGAAATAGTATATACAGTCGAATATTTAAAGATATAAAGTTGTCGAAAAATACGGTCGAATTAATTCTCACATTTCCTAATGTACAAATAACCATTCCTCTTTTTGTCTCCAGCACTCACTATATGAACATAATCTTAATCCTAATCCCAAGCACAATGAATTTACGAAGGTTATACATATCTGATTAAGTTTCGACCCATCGCTTCCGAAATGGACGAGTAAAAAAATGTTTCGTTTTAGTTCTTTATGAAAAGTGTAATTTCTAGAAGTTGAATTCAATTTGCAAATATTATTCCTGCTATAGCAGTCACACATCATTTAAAAGAGCAATGTAACGTTTATATAAATAATAAATAACTAGGGGGGATTCATAAGACTATTTCGATCAACAAGTCGATGGGAAAGTCGTCCAAACCCAAAGAGAGAAGGATTATAACAGGAGAACAAGAGGGTGATAAACGGACATTTCAAGTACTCACATATAGCACAATGTTCAGCTTTGCTGTTTCTGTTCCTTTATTCTGTAAAGAAATACATGATAATCATTCTTGCGATGAAAGTAAATGGTTTGTGCAAAATCACAAAAAAAATCCGAGATTTTTAGGTTCAATAAAATTTAATTTCCTTATTAAAAAGCAGAGATCATGTTTGATGTGCGGGTGACAAAAGGATTTAGAATAGGGATTGGGGGAATTAGAGTAATAAATGGGGGGTGATCAGGAGATGGGATAGGAGCAAGCTGTATAAAATGGAATAATCAAGCAGGCAATGGACTAATACGATGATATTGCAGCACTTAAATAAGAAACAAGAAATAACCATAGAATCCTGAAAGTTTATGGTGATCGTGAGAGACAGAAAGAGAGAGTGAAAGAGCAACAGATGCATTTTCTGTTCTTTGACAAATTGCATTTTATACATAAGATAGCACCCTGTTGATGTACTGATCTTCTACCTGGATGGTGAGTCTTGAAGACCCGTAATCATTCCCATTAAACGAGATATTTCTTCTCGATCACCTTGGGGAACGGCAACCTATAAATGAGTTTTTAGAAAATTATTGTGCGTCAACAATTGTATAAACAATAATTATAAGCATTAAATGCCCGTACTAAGGAAGATTGGCAGTGGAAGTTCTTACGGTGCAATGAGAAAACGCTACAGTGTGCTGACAAAACGGTACACTGTGCTCAGAAAACGGTACAATCCAACAAATTCATTCGTATCTCAAGTAAGACAAAGTAGTTGAGCACTATTTTACAACAGTGTGTGGAAATAACTAGCAAAAGAACTCTCGAAACAGTCGAAATACGTGCATTGGATTATATTTCCTTTCGAACTTTTATGATCAAACGTGAGTCTTTCGTGATCAAATGAAAGTCTATACAAGTTAAACAATATACCAAGGCTACCTGCCACGAGACATTCAAATATAATTCGAAATAATGAAGCATTTTCAGAACAGAATTTCCCAGATTGAATGTGCAAATGGTCACAAATGTTTAAGATAGGCAAAGGAGGTTTCAAGACAAGGTAGATAGGTGCCATTTTTTGTTTAAAAACATCAACACATTATTCATGTAATTGGCAAAATAAGAATAAGAAAAGTTTAATACTCGCCTCAGCTTTTGAATCTGATTGTCCACGAATGCCAGACAATTCGTTCAGCTAAAAATGTGAGAAAAGAAAAGATGAAATTCGTGAAATTAAAACAAATGCATTTTCGGAGTCGTAAAAAATTCTTATCGTTAACAATGAGACGTTCTAATGCCCTTAAATTGCGAAATAAATAGTGAAAAATCGTCTATAATTGTGGCAATTAATAGGAAATCATCTGAGCATGTGCAGTTGACTAGACCAATTCTCCTACTTCATCGTCATGGCAACGACCAATTGTACTAGTACCGATTATGGAGTAATTAGCTCGCTCAGTCACAAATTTCCAGATAAATCATCAGCGCATGAGCAGTTGGCTAGAGCATGCGCAGTCGACTTGACCAACTGCACAAGTTCATGGTCATGACAACGACCAACTGCATCTACCAGCACCGATTTTGAAGTAAATAGCATGCTAAGTAACAATTTAAGAGAGAAATCATCTGGGCTTGCGCAGTAGTGACATTGATAATACCACAACTTTCGCAAGCCTTCGAATTTTTATATATATATATATATATAAAGCAAAAACTAGCAGTGGAAGCTAGGTGCGATATAGTATTCAGTGGCTTAGGGGCCCACACTCGGTGGCGACCGCACTCTTCCTGCGTACCCCAAGCAAGGCCTATCTCAGGTAATCTCGGGGTCTGATGGGCGGAAGCTTGCTATTGCATCTCCCAAGCAGGATAGCGTGGAGGGGCCGAAATCTCCTACCGAAACGTTAACATGCGGCGTTCTAGTGCCTTGGGCTTAAGTAGTTATCGGGAAGCATGGCCCGAAATGGGGGTTTTTTGCTTTCGAATTTTATCTTTTTGTTATCTTTCTTCACAAGAGTTCTTCTCAAAACTTCAAAGTTTTTACAATGATAACATTCAACAATCACTAGTGATCAAAATAAAGAGATAAGTTTCTTCCAGAGATTAGAAGACAAACGCTAATAGAGCTACGATAAAACAAGTTGAAAAGTTGAACAATTTATTTTTGTATCAAATACATCAGTGGCCTAACTATCTACAGATATGGAAAAAAAACGCTAGTGTTTGAGCGGATTTTCCTTCTGTTGCATCACGCACAAGAAAAACTGAATTCAAATCTTATACTACTTATACTACTAATATCATAATGTTGTATCGCTCTACGTATAACAATACTGCGATGAAACTTTACACTAAAAACTACAAAAACTTCAAACACATACCTTTCGCTGCAACTGAACTGCTTGCTTTGTAAGTTGTTTAAGAAACTCAGAACTTTCTTGACAACGAATGTCCAAGTTACCAAACTGGAGAAGAAAGAAAATTCTTCTATGTTCGATTAAATGAAATGAAACACTTCTCGAAGTTTTCTCACCTTCCTTTGGTAAACATTGAAAGCTAATTTTTCACTTTGTAAAGCAGAACGATAATCACCAACACACGCTTTAGCTCTTGCCAGAAGATGATAACTAATGATAAACAAAAAAAAACACAACAATATAATGAACAACATCATATACAAAATAAGTATTCTACAGTGCAGAAAAAGTGCATGAAAATATGATAGAGAATGGGAAAACAAGCTCCAGTAACAGCCTCTTTGCTTCATGTAAATAATAAACCTGGTTCAATTATTTCCCCACTAATATCTTGCTTGAGTAGCTCACCTCATCGCCGTGTGTATACTATCTGGACCATGATATCTAAAAAAGTTCAAGAACATTCCAAATGACACAAAAGACAGGTTGCCTAGACCATATCTTATATATAACATCAAAAAAACATTATACTTCTCTTGTATCTTTGCAGCGTTTTCCAAAAACTTCACGGAAAGATCAAACTCTCGTTGTCCTTGTAGAATTAAGCCAATATTGCTCTAAGGTGAATGTGTAATTCGTGTGTTTTTTTGTAAATAAGAACTCGAGTACACAGTGTTTATTGATCAACGGTATTACTAGGAAAGATGTATTATAGAGGAGGAAGTATATAGATGGTTTGTGGAAAGTGGTTTGGAAGTGGAGTGACCAGGAAGAAGTGGTTTGGAAAAGGCAACATTAGATTTGGTTTTGACGATAAAGTACAACTATGTGGTTTAGGTCAAAATGTGACATCCATTTCAACTTAAAAATAATTTTAAGTTACGAAATCATAAAGGATGTATCTTACATCAAATGTAGCCATGTCAGGATGTCCTTCGCCAAAGACAATTAAGGCAAGATAACGCGCACGATACATCAATTTTAGAGCAGCAGAAACCAATCCAGCATTATGAGAGTATAAGGCCAAATGAAGCTGTTGAAAAGAGAAATTGAAGTGATGATTAACAGAAGGCATCACAATAAACATCTAATTACAGTATTACTCAATGGTACAACACACCACCATTGAATGGTAACTGACCACCATTGACTGGTAACTGACCACCATTGAAAAATACAACAGGCTACTATTAAACAGTAACTGACCACCATAGAATAGTAACTGACCACCATAGAATAGTATCTGACCACCATTGAATGGTAATTTATCACCATTGATTACTACAACAGACTAATATTGAATACTAACTGACCACCATTTAATAGCAACTGACCACCATTGAATGGTAACTGACCACCATTAAATAGTAACTGACCACCATTGAATAGTAACTGACTACCATTGAATAGTAACTGACCACCATTGAATAGTAACTGACCACCATTGAATAGTAACTGACCACCATTGAATAGTAACTGACTACCATTGAATAGTAACTGACCACCATTGAATAGTAACTGATCACCATTGAATAGTAGCTGACATCGTTGAATAGTAACTGACAACCATTTAATGGTAAATAACCACCATTGAATGGTAACTGACCACCATTGCATAGTAACTGACCACCGTTAAATGGTAAGTGATAACCATAGAATAGTACAATAGACCACCATTGAATAGTACGTAACAGACTGACGACAAATAAATGGTTACAGACCACTTATAAAACAATAACAGCTAAAACTAAAAACTACCACTGAATAGCAAAGAACCAGTAATAAATGTTAACAAACTTACATATGCCATTATCGTGTCTGGGTGATCAATACCGTATACTCTTTCGCAGACAACGACAGCTTTTCGTTGATGTAAAACAGCCTGTAATAGAAAATTTCCGCGTTTAAGCAAAGCGAAATTGCAGCAAATAACAGCAACGAAAACTATGCTGTAAAGCAATGAATTGGAAGGAAGAAATATACTTATCGTAAGATTCAAGAATTATTAGTATACCTGAACCGAGTCGCCAGCCAAGTAATAAAGCCGAGCTATTTGCCTAGGGATTAAAGAAACTGAATTATGATCCAAAAGACCAAATGCAAAACATACACAAATATAAATAATGTAACACTTTCATACAGTTGATGGAAACTACCTATAGCAGACAGCAATATCACTGTGCAATGGTCCATACACTTGATGGTAGAGATTCAAAGCATCAACCATTACGGTATGTGATTCACTCAGTAGACCTAAACGGACCACAAATACAATTTTCGTAGCCAATTTTATTCCATAACAACTTGCTTTTCTCACTTGTGATTAATGCAAACATGAAAACGGAATATATAAAATATGAAACACGAAAAAAGAATTTGTGAAAAGCTTTGTGAACGTAGTATTAACGATTCTTAGAATTTTCAAATCTTTTTACAATTTTAAATGCATTATCTGACATTATTTACGCACCAACAAATAATACCAGACTACTTGAAAACGAAATTACCTGATTGAAGTTTATTTTGAGCAGCCTCAAAGAGCGATGTTGCATCGCTTGCCTAAAAAAATTTATAAATATTCTTTTATTAACACTACGGAAAAAAACAAAGAGCAAGTTGAAAGTTGGTTAAATTAGCACGTTGAAGCAAGGCGTAAAATATTATAATTTTGTTAAAAGTTGAATCATCAGTAGGTTACGTCATTGAAATATTGGCGATTTATTATCCAATCAGAATAATTGTAAACACTTGAATGTATAAAAACTCGAAAAAGTTCTCTTTTGCCAGGCAAACTAGGTCAACATTCAACAATCCGCTAAAAAATTGACAATAGGATTATTTTACTTCTCACCTTAGGATTCGTGTGTTTTACTATTGGGAAAATATTCATTATATGTTCTTCATTAAAAGTCGGTGCCTTCTTTGAACGAAAGTCGTAATCATGTAACAGGACTTGAACACCTATGAAAAACAAAGCAGATTGATGCAGCAGAGAGGCAAAAAATGCAGTGTGTAATATCTATTGATTTCATTTTATTTATTCATTGGTTTCCAAATTAAGATTGATATTAGAGAAGTTATCTTCTCCATCATCCTCCTGTTTTTGTATTATTTAACCCAAGACCATATTAACTACAGCATTACAAAGTACCATGACAATGTATGAATCTTTACTAACCTGTCTTCAAACAGAATGATCTTAGAAGAGACAACGGCTGTATTACATAAGTATCAACAACTTCATCTATACTTTCTCTGAAGTAAAAGAGTTAATAAAATCTGAATGTAATTTGATGCAATAGTACGTGAGTCACACGAGCAAATGTCATATAATAAAAATACAGGAGTAACAGTACAATGAAATTGTAGTCAACGTAGAATCCAGTCTAGTGTATTCACCAGGAGTTATGTTAAATTGAAACTTAAATCCTTATATACTCCAGTCTTTAGTCTTCATCAAGAATAATCCAAAGTTGAACTAAAGTTCTTATAAATGCCAGTCAAATATCTATCAAAAGTTACTAACTGTTTTAACTCAAAGCCAAAGTGATTTCTGACTTCGTCGACAATCCACGACCAAAGAAGCTTGGGAGTTAATTTAACCCAAGCGACTAAGGACAAAAAAGACATTTATACAGAATTATGTCTAAATATCCCAAATTAATCATTGTTTAACTACTCGAACATTTTTAAGAGTACGTAGCAAAAAACCGAGCGTACCTTCACCAGCTAGAGTTTGTTTACTGCCTCTATTTTTCTTGTTCTTTTTTCTCTTATGTGCGAACTTTAAAGGTAGACAGTATTTTACAATATTCACACAATATATTAATTATATTAACTAAGAATACCTCGCCGTTAGGTAAACAGGCCACAGGATTGGGATATGAGCTCTGAAATCAAAGATGAAATTACACAGGTATGCATTTTCTTATAATAATAAGGAAAACACATACACAACATACCAGGAAACAGTTAAGAAAATGGCTGACAGCTATTGAAAGATATTGTTGTAAAGCTGCAACAAAATATACACAACGTAATAAATACAAGAACGAGTTATCATCATCACAGCTTAGCGAATCGAAAAACAATCTATGTTTGTAAACAATTCATATCCTGAGCAGTCATCACACAGGAAAAATAACTAGCTCATAAAATACCTTCTCTTAAGTGAGCTTTGAATATTCTTTTTGCTGCTCTCGAAATCATTTCAGAAATACAAATTTTCTAGATAAAATCCAAACACAAATATCATAACATAATTTCATGCCTTAGTGTTGATGCAACAGAACGCATATCAAACAGGACTTTATCAATGCACAATGCTCGAAGATAAAATACAAGATGCATTTCTGTTCATCAGCTTTCCAAACAAAAGTAACGACAAATAAAATATATTATGAAACAATGTCGGCATTCCTAATTTCTACGTTATTTGTTACAAGTATATGTTGTGGGATTGATTTATATTTTTTACCTCAATACATCACTAAGCACAAGGACAAAAACCCACAACGTGGAAGGGTTATCTTACATGTAACCAGGGATGAACCTAAGATGATTTCTTTCGAGAGGGTGGGTTGCTCTAGTTTGAATTAGATTTTTGGTGGTTACATTGGAGACATGGCTTTTTCTTTTGCTTTCTTGATAGGTACATTGTTATATAGCAGAGAAATTTGTACCCTTCGTGTACCCCCTCCAACAAAGGCTAGGATGTTCACAACCCTTCACACCTCCCCAGTAAATCCCCCACTGAATATTACTTACATAGACATGTTCTAAATCTTTTTTCTCCGATAGACAGATGGCGATTTTACCAATATACCTCATGCTGATCCCTCTAAAAATATTTTTCGTCACTCTTCACTAACTGTTTATTTGTACAGTATAAATATCACGGAGAAGAAGGAACAGGTAACAGAAATTTCAAGGCCCGGATGAAAAATAAATACGGATCAACCAACCTCACATGCAAGATTTCAGTAAAGGATGCACCATCCATTGGAGACTGGGAAAGAGTGATAAAGTCCTTTACCTGATAAAGAGAAAAGAGGTTTGGTAATTGATAATACTATACTGCGCACAACAAACTTTCCTTTCCAATTTTACAATACTTTTTTAATTAACTGTTTTTGAAATGTCTTCAAAATTGATGAATACAGAAAACATTTCCGTAAGGGAAAATCTGTTGTAAAATTCATTAAATTATTACCAATGTGGCGATCACGGCATGCGACAAAAATGACGCAACATCTTGAATCAATTGTTTATCTTTAGGTAAACGACCATTCTGTGGAAGGAAAAACAAAGAATAAAATAAATCAGCAACATTGAGTCCTTGGTATAACTATGCTACAACCATGGTGTCTCAAGAAATTCGCCTCGCTGTTATATTCACCCCACCCGGGGGGGAGGGTCAACATCCAGGAAATATAGACCCCTATCCACTGTATATTGTACAATATTTATCATCAAGATATATATTTTATCACCAATACACAAATTTCTCAAAAGTAACTTTAACGAAATGACAAAATAATGAAGTAAGACCATCAACCTCACATTCAGCAGGTCGAACATTTTCATTGTACGCATCAGGATTAAACTGAACATCAAATTCTACACCTATCATAAAAAACAATTTTTAAAAATTTATATAAATAAAGTGACTCGTTGCACCTAGAAAAACAACACTCCACAGTACAGACAACGATATTACACGAAAAAACCACTCCAGAGTACAGACAGTGCAACTACACATAGAAAAAACAACACTCCACAGTACAGACAGTGCAACTACACATAAAAAAACAACACTCCACAGTACAGACAACGATATTACACGTAAAACAATACTTCGGAGTACAGCAATGAAATGACACATAAAATAGAACACTCCGCGGTACACAAAGCGAAATTACACGGAAAAGAAATATAATAACACTCAAGAGTGCAGACAGCGAAACTAAATATAAAAAACAGCACTCCAGAGCACATACAACGATGTTACACGTAAAAACAACACTCCAGAGTAAAATGAGCAAAACAACTGTATGACAAGGAATTGGGATACTTGAATAAGAAAATGCCAACCTGTTTCATTTAATGATTCATAAGTTACAGTTCCATTTTTTCCCGCGCCATGTGACACTTTTTCTTCTGTAATAAAAAAGAGACTTAGAGAGCAGAAAGAATAGGTAGGCCAGTCTTTTATTGACCACAGGTGTGACTAGCTAATAATGGGTGGTTTATGCCAATTACAGCATCCACATAACCAACTGTTTGAGTTCATAATCATGGAAATAACTAACTCGATGTACCAGGACCAATTTTTTAGTAACTAGCTCAGTCTGTTGCAAAATAAGAAAAAAATCATTTGAGTATGCACAGCCGACTAAACAAACTGTTCTCGCTCAGGTTCATGACAACAACCAACAGCAACTGCTAGCACCTGCTTGGAGTAAATAGCCTGCTTATTCACAAATTATAAGAGAAATCACTTGCGCATGTGCTCAAGCATCAACCAATTGTTCATAGTGATGGTGACACAGATGAGCTCTAAAGATGACTACCGCTAAGGTTGTCGAAACGTCAGTCAACAACAACAACAGTCCTTCTAAGGACTCTACCAGCCTGGACGATCTACATCCACAAACATGTACCCACTTACTACTACATGTACCCACTTACTACTGATACAGTTTACGGGCACATGCTCTTTAAAATAAATATCAAACTCAAGAACGTGGACTTTTACGTTTGCACCTTGTACATCAAAACAGCGCCTTAAGTTTGAACAGAATGAAAATTTCAAAACAGCACCTACCAGAAGCTGGTTTTTTACAGCTGTTCTCTTTGTCCTCTATCTTTTCCTCTTCCACCACTTTTGATTTCTCTCCTTCATCATCTTTGTTATGATTATCGTCATTCATCGTCTCAAAATCTTTCTCGTCGATCGAGCTCTGCGCTTTATCCTACAATTTAAAATCATTCTTTATACATTTATACGCGTCGTTCCGTGTTGTAATTCTCAAAACCAGGCCAAATTGATTGTGTATAAAGTCCTAATATTGTGAAATTGCTCAAAAAGACTTAATTCTTTCATGATAAGTATTGAATCGTTTAAAATCATTTAACACTTTGCTGAATCCCGGGCTCATTTAATCAGCTCCTTAGTAGGCATGGGTTACAATGTAAATGATTACAATTATTTTTATACATGTTTGTAAATGTCGATCGTCCAGGTTGGTATAGTCATGAGAAGGACTGTTTTTGTTGTTGTTGACTGACGTTTCGATAACCTTAGCGGTAGTCATCTTCAAAGTCAAAAGATGTCCTTCTCAGTTTTGACTCTGAAGATGACTACCGCTAAGGTTGTCTAAACGTCAGTCAACAACAACAAAAACAGTCCTTCTCAGGACTATACCAACCTGAACGATCTACATTTACAAACATGTAACGATACTCCCGGGTTCAAACCATTTACTTTGTTATTTTTATACCTCGTTAGCTTTAGTTTTAAATGAGACATTCTTCGCAACAAGCCTCAAAAAATTCACGTATCGAGTCCTGAAACATGAAAAAAACGTGGATTATTCCATGAAGGAATCAGCACAGAAGTTGTCTACAAATGAAGAAAATGACTTTCTTTTACTATCATCCAATTATGAAAAGGAGTGAACAGGTATAACAGGCTTTAAAACCTGGAATAATCCTTGACCAGACGACAATTTCATAAGAGATAAAGTAAAACATAATCAGAAAAAGGACGCCTTGTAAACTTAAATTCAAGTTATTAAACAAGACAATGAAAAGCGTAACGAAATATTACACTTTTAACTGTCGTGTTTGATAACTTGAATTTAAGTTTACAAGATGTCCTTTTTGGGATTGTGTTTTATTTCAAAACTGAAATATATTCATGAAAAACAAAATATGATGGTATTTAAGATGCGTTGACTCAGAAGGTGAAGAAAAAAACTGCAAACAGCAACACTTTTTTCAAAAAAGGTTTCAAGTAAACACAAACTATCCAAAGACATACTGAATGGTTCAAATTACTCACGCAATAAAAGACTCAATCAACTCTGGTCGCAATGTGACTAATTTTGTCTTGTATTTTAAAGGATATTTAAAGACTTCCTCAGAATTTTCTAAGCTAGCACCTGCACAAAAAAACGAAAAGATAAATAAACCAGCAAACACAAATTCAGACGTAGCAAAAAAATGACACAGATTGCCCCCCCCCCTGGCATTAATTGTTTGTGTTGTTTAAACTCACCTTCCAAGAAATTCACATCAGTTGGGAATGTTCGAAATAAATCCAAAATATAATGACGTCCATCAGCACCAAGTATTCCCTACGAATTACATGTCATAAATTCACAAGTACAACGAATAATAGCACAAAAAGTTAAAAAGAGGCATATTTGTAAGTCATCATCAATACCTTGCATTCGACAGAGGAAATCAACTCAACTTCTTCGTCTTTTTCGTCAAGAACCCTGAAACAACGAATGAATTATAAAGACATTGCAGTGACGTATTTAAGAACTCAAGTCTCAAAATAAAATCTCTCGCTACAAAGACAGTTCACTGAATCATATAAGAACTCAAGTTTCAACATCAAATCATTCTTGATGAAGACTCTATAGACTGCAACATGTAAGCTTTCCTGTTTCAACATTGGATTATTCTTGACTAAGAAACTAGACTGGAGTACATAAGGACTTATGTTTCAAGAACAATTCACTCCTGATATAAACAATAAAGTAAGATCGGCAGCATCTTAATTATATATACAAACATCCTTATGAAAACAAAATCAAAATCCGACATTAAAATCCTTTTAAAAATCTCTTACTTTTGACTGCATATTCTGAGAGGTCTGGCTGCTTTACTCAGCTGGAAAAAAATCGCAGCAGTTAAAAATACTTTGCACGTAAACCTCCAGTATTCATACTCGCACACTTTATACATATACATATGAAGCAAGCATACCAGTTTCAAAAACTCTGGATTAGACGTGATGGTCTTTCCAGCATCAATAGAGCCATAGATAACAGAGTTTTCTTGGTCACGTTGTAAAATGCCTAAATGGTAAAGAGAGAAATTTTTTATAACATATCTTCAAAACAACTTGACAGCAGTATATGCTTTACCGGGTATGATGGACTGCGCTATCACACGATATCCACGATAATCCACAACTACAGTACCCAATGTGTACAGACCCTACACCAAACAAAATAATGAAGATCTAATTCAATGACGTTTTATATATAATATCAGAAGAATTCAAAAACCATCTTTCAACAACTGCTCTATGGTCGTTTTTGAAAGCTCGACTATGAAAATTATCTATAGCTCTATCTATAAAAAAATTAAATTCACAAACCTCAACGTCAATCCTGTTATATGCCATCACTCCTTGTAGGTCGGCGCCCTTAAAGTTTACGGACGTTTTACATTTTGTATTGACAGTATGGAAACACGTCAACATCAGTGACGTTACAACCAATAGTAAACATAACAGAATTCAAGAAAGACAGAAGGGGATTTGAGAAAGACAGAAATTGAAATGAATGATAAAATATATGCTTAAGAACAATAATTTAAAACTTACTGCAGCAGCATAGGCGGCCTCATCACCTGAAACAAAAATAAAATAAATTCAGTTTAATATTTTCGCATGTCGTTATAGTTTCCGTAAGCTTTAGTAAGATAAACAAAATTGCATGACTCCATTATAATTCATACAAAGGCAGTATTTATGTGAATTTAAATGTAAATTTAACTGAGACAATAACTAATGGAAATGGTCAATGACAAATCTTTTTTTCTTGTGGTTTGGAAAACAAAACGTTCATACACTGAAATCAATATATTCTTTGTTCGTTGAAATTGACATTTTTATCAAAAACTTACCGCCAACATCTTTAAAATGATCCCTGCTATCAAATGCCAAACTAAAGAAGATGTTATTCCAGATATACATCCGAGATCTAAAAAAAATTTTATGAAGAATATATATAGTTGCCACGTCATTCTTGAAGCTATGACGTCACCTAAATCCTTATCGTTTGATGTAAATCTTCCATTTGAAGAAAGTGAGCAAATCACAATCAACTTACTTTTCATCATCACCAGGGTTGATTGACATAACATTTCCATCAACAACAGACATCGCTCCACGTGTAGCAGCCATAACAAAATCACTCGTTATCTAAATATAGTTACACATCTATGGCATTAGTACGGACTATATATGTACTTAATTAATTATATGAACTTTGTATTTTTCTGTTTCCCTTTATCCATCAAGATAGAACAAACAAAAAATATGTAAACTTCTGTTGTTTTGTACTCGCTCCACATTGATTAAACTTTGTTTTTTTCGAGTTTTGTAATTTTTCTTGTCGAAAAAGACAATTTAATATACAAGCAGGAAAGTTTATTATTTAATTATTATATATTACAAATTTTATTGGCCAGTTCATTTATTTAAAATGATGACAGCATGTTTCAAAACACGTTAATTCGTGAAGTATTCTGCATATACTATACATACCTTAAACATAGCCCTGTCTCGTAACAATCTTTGTTGTAAATTTCCTCTAGGTAATTCTCTTGCAGATTGAAGTTCCTCGTTCCAGTCACGTAACTACGACATATAACAAAAGTTTCTTACTAAGGGTATTAGTGGTTTTCTCAGGGTACAATACAATGATACGACGGTTACTTGGCAAGGATATAATGGTTTCATTAGGGTACATTAGGGTGATAGGAAAGTTTCTTCCCAAGATTGTGTTTTATCAGGATACAATGGGAAGATAGGAAGTTCCTTACCAACGTGGTTTTATCAGGATATAGCGGCTTTACAATATTTTTGTTTTGAAACACTAAAAAACTAGTGAAATAATAAATTGCTTTGTACCTGCCCAGGCATATGTTCTTCGTGGCCAATTCTTACATAAGAAGCTGCGAAAAGCCAAAAATACATTTATAGTTGATGACAGGACTTTGCTATATAAACACATGGAGTGAATACTTACAGTCCTCGGCTCTCATTCTATCTTCCAAGTGTTCAAGTTTAGGAACGGCCCACTGAAACACTATTAGATGAGAATTTGTATCATTGTAACATGTACGTTACAGCAAATTACAATTTCCTGAATTGTCAACTTTCAATCTTATTTATAAAACAAAAACTTTACGAGGAAATAATGAGCTAAATTTTTCAGGTAAAACAAAACTTTGTACGTAAGGATTAAACATAAAGTATTTCATTTACTAGCAGTTAATCTCCAACAAGGTATTCATTGCATTTAATTGATGGATCACATGAACAAAATTCAACGAATCAACGTTAACCATATAGCTAACAATCACATGAACAAAATTCAACGAATCAACGTTAACCATATAGCTAACAATCACATGAACAAAATTCAACGAATCAACGTTAACCATATAGCTAACAATCACATGAACAAAATTCAACGAATCAACGCTAACCATATAGCAAACAATGTAGCTATACGGGATAATATACCGGCAATGTAGCTATACCTTGATAAGGAGTCGGTAAAACTTCCAATGGATGTTTCTTCAGGCTGTAACATAAATTAACACAGAAACAACAGTGGAAAAAATGTTTGAATGACTTCAAATCCAGTTTCGCACAAAAATATAACTTATTACCTATTTTTTTGTAACAGCGTAAAGTTTTTCTTGAAAAGTGGACTTAGCTGCAAAATAATATGAAATTGTTGTTCAGTGGGACAAAGGTGAACAATAAAGACATGGAAACATATTTTTCATTGATACCTGCGAAAGCAGACCAACTAACGTATGAGACCGACAACTCTCTGGTCGAGGTACAGGATTAAACACAGAATTGTTACTTCTAAAATATTAAACGTAAATTTATTGCATAGAATCCAAAAGGAAATTTCTTTAGTTTTTCAATTTCAAACAAGTTTTGACCGAACGGTAAATTCATGACACAATCAACATGTGCAGAACAAAATCATCATATTTTTATAAGATTTTTTTAATATCGTTGTGTCAGAAACATTTCATTAAAGTTGGAACCGTCAACATTTTATGCTACAAGTCAAATAAAATTTCCTATGACCAAACATTTGGCATTTTCTTTTTAACAGGTGATAAAATGGCTGGGCACCAAATAACAGCATATCAACGAAAATTAGTCGGACGCAGGAGAATCCTGTATACCTGTTTATATAAAAACCCGATGGACATGACGTCACGTTCACGTGATCATCTTCCAACGTGATGACGTCAATGTACAATAGGTCTCCCGCCAACTTACGGAACCCAGGAGGGGGATTCCAACTGCTCAAACACAGTTCTTTCAAACATACGGGCACCTATAAAAATTACAATGAAATGTAAGATAAAAAAATAGTGAACAAATTTTACAGTTTTTTTATTGAGATAAAATAACCATTTAAAACGACTTTGTACATTCTTCAATAGAATTGTGTTATTTTTATTTCTTTCCAGAGGTATTTCATTTTTTTATTATGCAAATAACATCTGATTATGACATCATATAGCACATTTTGTAGTTTTCATCGACAGTTTGCAATAAAATATCAAATTGTAGCACCTTTATATTGATCAAGATAAGGTCATCTAGACATGTGAAACTGTCGTGTTTTTGAGTAAAATATTATTAACAATGCGGAAACTTGAAGGTCTTTTAAAATGTCATGAAGATGTTGCTTGCATAATGAAGAAAACGCGTATGTCCAGGTATTCCAACCTCGCTTCAACGCGTTAAGATGTAAGAAATATGTGGAAACGGATACAGTTGGTAAGGTAAAGCAGACTTGCTAACAACGTATCGCTGACCTTTGTTGTCAAAGACTTTGGAAATAATGCATTTACTGACAAAGGTATTTCGTCAGAAGGAAAAACATAATCAGGAGGTTTACATTCATCCGTGGGTAAGGCATTAACATTGTCACGTTTTTGTTTTAAAACTTGAACTTCCTCTGAAAATAAATATCACAATATGATTTATATAGTTAAAATTCGTCAATCCAAAACTCCACTTTATTTGAACTATTTTTAAAATCGATTAAAAACCTTCAAGCTCCATGCCAGAAACAGCAACATAGAAGGAAAATGATAAATTATCATTTGCATTTTGCGCGTTGTTCTCAAATGAGGTGTTTAATAAATCTCGTAATCTTCTCAAGTGGATTCGAGCTTCACGAGCCGAATATGGTTCTGGATGTAAATAAAACATTTGTCATAAGCGTAAACATAAACAATGATAAGTTGGTAGCATTTTGAAATAAGATTAGAAGGAAGAAGACACATTTATCATTCCAATGGCCGAATCACAGATTTTCATCATAATTACTCGAAATTAGGAAAAGAAAAGAGAAAGCAATCATTACATTTTCATGCATACTTTGTTTGACATCTGATAAAAAATTTCACAAATTACAGTTTAATAATATTTATTCTTTATATATGACCATGTGGACAACAGGGAGAAGGTCCAGACTATACACAGCGCAAACCTCATCAATCCATTACAAACCTTTGACAATCCATTACAAACCTTCAATAATCTTTATTGTACAATCATCTTTCAATCCATCTATTGTGTGTAATTCAGCAAAATCATCCAGCCGTTTTCCATCAAAATACAACGAGACACATGTTCTAAAACAGCTTTCCTGCCTTTCTAAGATGACCTGGCGAATATCTTGAATGGTCTCGTGAGAGGAGATCTGCAGATCATTGTACAAAATGTTAGATAAAGCTGGTGTGATAATTTCCTAAAACCTAGCAGGCAGGCATTCACAACAAGTTTTTCTAACATTAAATTTGTACAATGCTTTTCAAATCAAGAAAAAAATACATGACTTAAGTAATCTTGGTTATGTCAGGGCACTAAGTTTGAACAACTATAAGTGATCAAGATTTGAAGGATGATGCTACATCAATATATATTTCTAGATATTATTTACGATCTCTCCAACAAATACCACATTCCTTCCACCACCACAAAACATTTCTCAAATACATTATACGTTCACTATAAAAAACAAAAATTTCTTAAGGCCAAGATAAACCTTTAACATTTCAAACCTGGATAGGAACAGCTTCATTTGATCCTGGAACAATGAGTTTCAAACTTAAGAAATACAAAGGTGGATTATCTTCACTTTTTTGTTCATGTTCTTTTTTTATAACTTTTTCTGAAATAAACAAAAACATCAATAATGATGTCATCTTTGTCATCAATTGATGGGTCATAAAGACAAAAAAAACAAAAAATTTTACACACACCCCCATTCAACTTCTCTGCACCCTAGACCAAGATTTATGCCCACTTACTTATTTTTCCCTAGCATCTTTATACCTTTATCTTCTTTGCAAACCACTTCCAACTTTCCCTGCACGGTTCAAACCCCTACCCCCATTCCAATTCCCTCCTCCATTTCAACTGCTCATAACAATCCCTCCTTACCCATTTCAAATTCCCCCCACCCAAATCCTAATTTTGTTTACCTCCATTCTAGTCTCTACTCTCAGTCATTCTATTGAAGTCAATAAAAAAATTTTACCGTTGTGTTCATTTCCATTGTTAGATTTTGAGAGATTTAAAGGACATTTGGCTACCGCTTTATCTTTGGACATTTCATGCTCAGCCTTGTTTGAAATTTCATTAATATCTGTGGCAACAGCTGGCATTCTACACAATTCTAGATATGAAGAATAAAAAGTCTCAACAATAAACGAGTTTAAAGTGGGTTACGTAATTTGACTGTGAAAATGACCTTATAACCCCAAGAAAAAAACTCCTCATTTCCATCTAAATAGCGCTAATAAAGTTTGGCATAAAGAACAAACAATGCTATTTCAAGCTTCTTTTTAACAATTTCTGTCAGCCACACTTCTAAGAGATGTTTATCAAGCAAGGAAAGCACAAGATTTTCTCAAATATTTACACAGTAAGTTAATGAAAATATAAAGGCTCAATGTTCAGCTTTGAACAAAAGACCTCATACAAAGACAGATATGAGATGCATGGAAATTATGCATATCACACTGGTTTTCTTAAAAGCAACGACAAAAACATCTCTGAAATGCTTTACAAAGTTCGTAAAATTTCCATTCAAATGCAAGGTATAGTTTACCGTAGCGTAATTGCATATCATGTCTGCGTTAAAGTTTAAAATTAATCAAATTCTCCGGTCAAACACAGACATGTAATGTAAAAAAAGACCATTACTTTAATTTGCACTGATGTGCGTACTACACGCAACGATTTCTTTATTCACACGAAATACAAAACTATTCATCGACAAGTCTTCTACAACAAAATTGATTGAATAATTAAAGTGCAAACAAAATTTCTAGTTGCGTCAAATAAATCACGAGAAAATATTTAAACATTTTAGATGAACATAAGCGTAAACCAAATTAATACATAAGTTATGTTTGTTTAAAGATTTTCTAAGCATTTTCAATAGTATTGTAGACTAGTCATGCCTCCGAAACCTCCCATGATTATTGCATAATATACCGGGTCTGATTACGCTATTAACACATATTTTCAACAAACTAAGCTATTTTCAAAAGCAAAACAATCTAAACCAAACTAAACAAGACACATGTACTACAGCTAGTTATATCTTTAACAGATAGTAGACATAAAGTGAAATTTCGATGGGTTTGCGCTTTGCTAGCCTATGTACATATATATCCAGTGTCAGTACAAATTTCAATTTGAATGGAAGAGCAAACGTGTAAATGTGCATAAAATGCTTTATGACATGAAATATGTACATACCTAAATGAAGCAATCAGTCTTGGGAAATCCCGAAACGATGTCCAAAAGTCTAAAATAAATACGTGGCGGCTTCAACCTCAGAAAATAATTTATATAATTTCACTTAGTTCCTCGGTTTCACGTGGAAGACGCCAGTGATATCGAAGGTCATAAGCCAGCGGTTTTCCACCGAAAACTTAAGTCCATAGTCCAACCCATATGGTCCAATATGGTTCAACCACGCATCTAGTGCTGCCTGTGTAAGAACGATTTAAAAAGCCTGCTAGTCACTTGTAAGTATTGTTTATTAAGTATGTGTTTCGTATATAAAAAATGGTAAGGTATTGAAGATGATATGTAAAAATTTTGTTCATGCTAAACCAGTCGATTTGAAATGTCTAATTTGAGTTCACATGGAGATTTACAGCACCACAATTCAATTTACCATTACGCAAGAGATATTTTTAAACAATGTCAAAGGTAACTACATCATCATTTAGATTTTCACCATCACAAACTTAGCAGGGCCAATCTGCTCAGTAAAGAAATGGGGTATGACCATTAGGATTGAGGACCCAGCTGTTACACAACCGAAATTTACGAAAAGTAAAACTGATGTATTTGCCCGGTTTACTTTAATGGTAGACGTAGAGTGGAAGATATACTCCCAGTCTACGATGTGTTTTTCCATCCACTGGGAAACACAGTTGGCAGAAGGCGAATTTACCAAAGACAATTACGAAGGTATCATCATTTTCATTTATCGACCGTTATCACAACCTTATAGCAGAGAAATCGATCCATGACACAAGTAATATCAAGTCTGTCTAGAAACTTCATCAGAAGTGATTTGATTTTTAAACTCAAATCCTAATATAAACATCTTCTCAAGGAATGATGTATAGTTGACAAATGAGCCATCGTTGCATAGACAATATCACAAACACAGAAAATAAAATTTATTGTCGTAGTACCTTTACACATTGTTTATCCTGCGTTAGAAATATTCACATCCACAAACTATTCTCATTGTTATTTCAAATACACAGAGTTATTTACTTCCCATAACATATAGTTAGTGGAAACGCCATGCGGTTTTACAAAGTTTTACAAAACGTTTTACAAAGTACACGTTTAAACTCAAAGTAAAAATAAAAGATGAAATTTACAGCCATGCAAAAGATTCGGTAAAGCCTGTAAGTCCTTCTAGGTTAGTTCATCAGCATCAGCCAAAGGAACGCTTTCTATATTTTTGTGACGACGCTTTTGACCTGAAGCAACTTCAACTATACAAAGTGAAAGACATAAGATGTGTCAGACATAGGTACTATTGCTCTCTATGAAGTAGAAAGCCGCTTGTGCTTCGGGGAGAGGAAATATTTATGTACTGTCGTGTTAAGTTCCTTAGAAATCAATTGGTTTTGTTTTTCTGTTGAGTATAACATGAATATATAAATATTGCATTACCCCTCCCCTTCCCAACAATAGAGGCGCATTCTACATAAACCCATCTTTTAAGTTAAATAATCGACATAAGACAAAACTATACTGGCCACTGAAAAACTGGAGCTTAAAACATGAGCCAGAAAAACGCGACCTAATATTCATGATACAAATAGGTCACGCACCCATAAGAGGAATAGCAACTCACCCTCAGGAGATTCATAAGCAATACTTTCGTCTTCATGATTATACTTGAAGTTATTATCGAACTTGTTGTATAAACCCTTTCTGCGATGTCGGACAATCACGTAAAGGACAATTCCTATGAGCAGGAGAACTAAAACAGACGGAAAAAGTTGGTTTACAGGCAAAGCAGTCATTATCAATTACGCACTTTGGAAGAAACTATATAGAACACGAGTTTTCCGAGGAAAGGATACCAAAAAATCTTGGAATAGTACTGATTCTAGTGAATGAAAAAAACGTGAAAAGGGGGAAACAGGGCGTCTGGTATGTGCGGAGAACAAAATGAAACGGGGGGGTCTGGTGCTGACATAAATAGAAATATAAATAATAGGCATTCGTGCCTGATATCAATGTCTGTTTTTCGAACTTCTTTTATATTGCAAAAAATACTTGAAATACAAAAGCAAGACATACAAAAACAAGACTTACTGATAAAAGCACATACGACACCAACGATCAAAACACCATTGCTGCTGGATTTTGTTGTCAACGACGACTTATCAGTTTGAACAGAGATGGATCTAAAAGATACAAATGAAATGTAAAACATAACTCTCAGCTGACTTGAAACATATTTGCCCGCGGTAAAAAACCAACTTTATTGTACTGCATAGCTAGATGAGCAAAGTTTAAAATTAGCGCGAGTGAAAGTAATAACGCGAAACGAACACAAGTCTTTTCTGAGAAAGACCTTAATACGTACGTTACTGAGTTGGCTTTTGTTTTGCGTTTCCAACCATAAAACTTTTTTTCAGCTTCACCAGGATTGCTTCCATTTCAGTTGAAATCTCCGAAGCTGAAGAAGCTAGGCAGAAAAGATAAGTTGTCATTTTGACAATACAAAAATGAAACACATCAAAAGTAAACTGTATACAAATAAAAATATTTCATCGAGATAAATTTACGAATATATAAAAGGCAATCTGATTTTGTGACATACCATGATTCACCTCTACAAAGTTTAATGATTGCAAACCACATTATATAGAATTTTAGTTAACTATTCAACAAATGCTAGCATTATCCAACATACCATGAAGTTCTTTTTTACTAATCAATTCAAATACAACAGCATTCTCCTCCACATCAAACCGTACATCGGCGATACGCACACTAAAAAACATCACATGGTAAAAACTTAGAAAAGATATTACAATTTCAAGAAAGTCTTCTTTTTTTTAAATGACGAAAATTAATCTTCACCGCAGCCCAGTTGCAACACAGTCATCCACGATGCAATCACGACTTAGCTACGAGTCTAAAACTCGTTCTCTTGACACACAAAGGCAACGTAAAAGGTTGCGTCATTTCAATGATAACTTATCTTGAAGGAGAAATGTTGCTTAATCCACATACTCTGAAATGCCACCAATTTTAGCGATCCTATTAATGAACAATTTCTTGAAGTTCTTGTCTCTTTTAGTTCATTGACATTGCTCTGTGACTCAAACTGAATGTGCACGCTTTGGCTGCCAAAAGGATCTAAATGAGAACGCAAATCATCAAATTCTGGTGTAAACAAACCATCGATAAACTATTACCAACGATCTGAAGTTCATTCAAAGTAGTTAACTGTAAAGATAAGTCATATATCACTAAAGGCTCTTTCCATTCGTCGCAAAACGTACTCGCAAGCTCGCTGCTTGTAAGTCGAGCTTACCATGACTTGCAGCATAGTTAAATTAATTGAACAAATTTTTTTGATCGCACGAACAGACTCGCAAGCTCGCAGCGAGAGCATTTTGCGATGAGTGGGAAAGAGCCTTTAGTAAACATGCTATGAACAGGTAAAACATAATGAAATTGCTGTTATGTGCTCTACCACAAACGTTGCCTGAAAATGGGTATTATTTGGCGAGTGTACATGAAAAAAGATGTTTTACATTTCCTTTTCCATTCATTTTCATGGTTCCACCTTTGGAGGTTATTTTTGTTTGTTTGTTTGAATTAATAATACAGAGATCGATAACAAAAAACTACATGCATAGTTTATAGTATACAACATCAACGTTGACGGCGATCAAACTTACAAAATTGAGTTTTTAGTTCATCAGTATGAGGCATGCCCCAACCAGCTTCTGTTGAAGCCTGAACGTTAATTGTATATTTCGTATTTTCTTTGAGATGATTGATGTGAACTAAAAATGTCTGCGCGTCCACATCAACATAAGGCGGTTCTTTCTCATCCTCGCTGTTCTGTAAGCCTGACATAGGGACCCAACTAACCTGGAAAAATATAAATCTGATTAATGATTAACTCCAGTCTAGTGTCTTCATCAACAATGTAGAGCCGCGCGTTCTTGTATTGCCAAGTCTGTAGCATCTTCGTCAGAAATTGATTGATATTGAAACTAGGGTCCTTAAACTTTTCAGTCTAGTATCAAAATAAATATAAACTAACGTTGAAAAGAAAGTAAAATATTATACCCTATACTTAATGATTTCGCAACGAGGATTTAGTGGTGGTATCCATGACACATTTACAGAAGATGACGCTGGCCACTGAAGAGCCACTTCAACCTCGGCAGGCCTGTCTGGTTCTAGGAAAATAAGAGTCATTGTTGTACTTATCGCAAAAATAAATCTCTCCAAACGAATTCCACAAATTATTGGTAAAACACAATTCGAAAATTGCGTGTAATCCAGTAAATATTGCGTTCTTATGTCATTATTAGCTGTCACTATAGTCTAGCTATAATATAATCGTGGTAAGATCCCCCCTGGAAAATACACATTACAATTATATCCCTAAACAACTAATTCTGTTTTGTCAGGATTTATAATACTGCAAAAAATAAGATTTTAAAATTCGATCGCTAAGGTTCAGAATCCGAGTAGAAAAAAATCAAAAATTTAAACGCACAAATTCAATTATAAGAAAAAATCCATGATACAAGGGGTTTAAAATTCGATCGCTAAGGTTCAGAATCCGTGTAGAAAAAAATTAAAAATTTAAACGCACAAATTCAATTATAAGAAAAAATCCATGATACAAGGGGGGTTTAAAATTCGATCGCTAAGGTTCAGAATCCGTGAAAAAATCAAAATTTAAACGCACAAATTCAATTATAAGAAAAAATCCATAATACAAGGGGGGTTTAAAATTCGATCGCTAAGGTTCAGAATCCGTGTAGAAAAATCAAAATTTAAACGCGCAAATTCAGTTAAGAAAAATCCATGATACAAGGGGTTTAAAATCGATCGCTAAGGTTCAGAATCCGTGTAGAAAAAATCAAAAATTTAAACGAGCCAATTCAATTAGAAAAATCCATAATACAAGGGGGGTTTAAAATTCGATCGCTAAGGTTCAGAATCCGTGTAGAAAAAATCAAAAATTTAAACGCGCCAATTCAATTAAGAAAAAATCCATAATACAAGGGGGTTTAAAATTCGATCGCTAAGGTTCAGAATCCGTGTAGAAAAAATCAAAATTTAAACGAGCCAATTCAATTAAGAAAAAATCCATAATACAAGGGGGGTTTAAAATTCGATCGCTAAGGTTCAGAATCCGTGTAGAAAAAATCAAAAATTTAAACGCGCCAATTCAATTATAAGAAAAAATCCATGATACAAGGGGGGTTTAAAATTCGATCGCTAAGGTTCAGAATCCGTGTAGAAAAATCAAAATTTAAACGCGCCAATTCAATTATAAGAAAAAATCCATGATACAAGGGGGGTTTAAAATTCGATCGCTAAGGTTCAGAATCCGTGTAGAAAAAATCAAAAATTTAAACGCGCCAATTCAATTAAGAAAAAATCCATAATACAAGGGGGGTTTAAAATTCGATCGCTAAGGTTCAGAATCCGTGTAGAAAAATCAAAAATTTAAACGCGCCAATTCAGTTAAGAAAAAATCCATAATACAAGGGGGGGTGTTAAAATTCGATGGCTAAGGTTCAGAATCCGTGTAGAAAAAATCAAAAATTTAAACGCGCCAATTCAGTTAAGAAAAAATCCATAATACAAGGGGGGTGTTAAAATTCGATCGCTAAGGTTCAGAATCCGTGTAGAAAAAATCAAAATTTAAACGCGCCAATTCAATTAAGAAAAATCCATAATACAAGGGGTTTAAAATTCGATCGCTAAGGTTCAGAATCCGTAGAAAAATCAAAATTTAAACGCGCCAATTCAGTTAAGAAAAATCCATAATACAAGGGTGTTAAAATTCGATGGCTAAGGTTCAGAATCCGTGTAGAAAAATCAAAATTTAAACGCGCCAATTCAGTTAAGAAAAATCCATAATACAAGGTGTTAAAATTCGATCGCTAAGGTTCAGAATCCGTGTAGAAAAAATCAAAAATTTAAACGCGCCAATTCAGTTAAGAAAAAATCCATGATACAAGGGGTGTTAAAATTCGATCGCTAAGGTTCAGAATCCGTAGAAAAATCAAAATTTAAACGCGCCAATTCAATTATAAGAAAAATCCATAATACAAGGGGTTTAAAATTCGATCGCTAAGGTTCAGAATCCGTGTAGAAAAATCAAAATTTAAACGCGCCAATTCAGTTAAGAAAAAATCCATAATACAAGGGGGGTTTAAAATTCGATGGCTAAGGTTCAGAATCCGTGTAGAAAAAATCAAAAATTTAAACGCGCCAATTCAGTTAAGAAAAAATCCATAATACAAGAGGGTGTTAAAATTCAAATGAGTCCAAGATTTCAACAGGGGGGATTCTATAACTTTGAATATTTGTGAAATAGTAACATACCAGCTTCCCCTGTTGTAAAAGGCACAATATGACTACGTTCACTGTTGCCGTAAATGTTCCACGCAGATACAGCAAACAAGTAAGACGTGCAAGGACTGAGTCCCAATACACTAAACTGCGTTTTTTTCGATAACCAACGGCTGCGATTTGTGTACGGTGCTACCTGAATGATAATAAATAAAGAGTAAGATAAATAAAGAACCAAAAAACCATGTCACAAAAACCCTTATTTCGTATAAAACAAATTGTTGATTTCATGAGGGCAAGATAAAAGTTTAACCTCTAGTGAATGTGGTTTGGCTATGTTCATTGATTCAAATCAATCACGTTAGACTTGAATCGGGCCTGTTTATAGGACATAATTCATATTAATAATTTACTTTGAAATTGAATAAAATTCATTAATACCTGATAAACATAGTATTGAATGTTTACATTGTTGATCACCGGCGGAGACCATGTAAGTGTTGCTTGCCATGAAGAAATGTTCACAACCCTCAAATTAGCTGGTGGTTGGGGAACTAAATCGATATAAAAGCTCACAGAAAATATTGCACCACATATTTGGTTCACTGATAAGAACTAAAGAAATCCTTATAAAAATTTAACAAATCACAAAAGTGGAATAAACTTTAAGTAAACAATCCTCATGACATATGTGTATGAAGGATATCTAGTCAAGTACGCTGACTTCTTAAACACCATTCTCAATGAAAGTCGATAAAAGCACAATGATAAATGTTTGTCATGCTCACACTAAGAAAAACAATAAAATTGTTGTAGTATGGTAAAATATCCTACCTCCGACCTTAGTCGTAAAATTGAAGTATCCTTTAGGTCCTTCACTAACGATAACAGCAGAAACTGCCATTTCATAAAATGTGTTTGGCTTTAATTGTTTTAACGTAACTTCATTGAATGACGAAGTGTTTACACGTGTAAACTTTCCATCTTTTTTCATATATATGTTGTAGCTCTAAACACAAAAATTAAAGTCTATGATCTGCAAAAGATAATTTAAAATCGTCGTGATTTATCGACATATAAAGTTGTTTTGTGTTCAGGATAACACACCTTTGGTGCCAAAGAAA